ATGGTTGGCTATTTGAAGGCCTGTGCTACTCAAGTGTGATCGATCATTCCTAAGATGGTTACAAGCTAATCAGTGCACTTTTTCTTAGCAGTATAGGACAGTTTTTTCACCTGTAGCCTCGTAATAGGGCTTTAGGCCCTGTGACAAATGGGCAGTTTCTCCTGCATTTAGTAGCAAGTAGCCAGAGAAAGTTAGGAGGTTGTGCCAGTGTGAGCCAGAGAATATGTGGTATCCCCTGACTTTAATAACCCACTCAGCAGATTGTGCCAGTGTGAGCCGGGGAATGTTTGGCCCTCCCTGACTTTATTGACCCACTCAAAAGCATTCTTGCTGTGCTGTGGCTGAGGGAGCTTTGAGCGTGTTCTCCTAGCCCTCTCCAATTCTGCCAGGGACTCTCCATGAGAAGCATCCCCAGCGATTCTATTAGCATGTCTGCCAACTCTCATCCTTCCTCCACGCTGCTGAACAATTTTTGGAAAGGTCACATATTTGCTACTCACACAAACCACCCACTTCTCCGCCCCTGCACTAACTGATGCATACTCTCTCCCACGTCCCCAAATGCCAGGCCATGAGCTCAGGGGTGCTAGCCTTGGGGAAGCTGAGAAGGGGGCGTTTCACACTCCAAGGTCTCAGTCTCAGCACAGAGCTGTGTACACACACACACACACACACACACACACACACACACACACACACACACACAGGAACCACGATTCCTCCATCATTCAAAAGAACTGTTCATAAAGTCGGGCAATGGTGGCGCACGCCTTTAATCCCAGCACTCGGGGAGCAGCGGCCTATGGGTCTCTGTGAGTTTGAGACCAGCCGGTCTACAGAGCTAGTTCAAGGACAGCTAGGGCTGTTACACAGGGAAATCTTGTCTCGAAAAACAAAAACAAAAAGCAAAACAAAACAAAAGAACTGTTCATAAAATTCAACAGAAAACATGCTAAGAGAGAAGGCCACTTCAAAAGGCCTAATTCCAGCCTGATTTTGAGAGGCAGCCTCCTACAGTCTGCTGAGGCCTGAAAAGTGACCCTTGTGTGTGTAGGCTCAGGGGCTTCACACACACCTGTACATGCTTACTGAGGCACGAGTCCCTCACATCCTCACGCACTCTTATCGAAATCAAGGAGTGCATAATTGTCCCCACCAGACTCATCTCAAAACCCTGGGCAGACAAGTAGACAAAGCCCCATTCCCAGTACAGGCCACAGCTTGAATATCAAATTATTGTATGAAAAGGCTGAGTGTTCTGTGGTGAAAGCAACCCATTGCTAAAGAGACCAAAAGGAAGCTTGGAAGGGAGAACAATGCCCCTGGGAAGATGGCTTAGGGTAAGGGACAGCAGTTTCTTCTCTCCAAAAAAACCCTTGTGTGACCCACTTCTCGGAGGCCAACTCACTCCAGGCTCCCACTGCCCTCTAGAGCCTTTATCAAATGCTCTCTATGCTACTGCCAGACTCCATGATACATGCTCAAAGGGCTACTGATAACTGCGTACGGCCTCTGTGGGCCAGCACAGCAGCTGGACCTCATTCCTGATGGCTGGAGAACAGCTACAGGGGATGGCCTAATGGACTTCCTTCTTTCCTTCCCCTAATGTTGGGGATGGAAACCAAGGCCTTGTGCACACTAGGCAAACACTCTTCCACTGAGCTGTATCATCGGTCCTGGATTTGTTTTCTTCTATTTTATACATAGGTATTTAATTTCAGCAGGCAAATTTTAGAGACAAGGCTTCATACAGCCTGACTCAAACACCTGACCCTCTAGCTTCTGCCTCCCAAGTGCTAGGATTACAGGCTTATGCTATCATGCTCAGTTTTATGAGGTACTGGGAGTCAAACCCAGGACTTCATGCATACTAGGTAAACACTCTACCAATGAAATACACCCACCTGTCCAGTACTTATTTATTTTAAAATGCACCAGAAAAAAAAATACCTAGGTAGCACCTGTGACTTAGTAAATATAATTGCACAGGACAAATCTAAGACTAAGAATGATTTCAGGTTGACGGTTCTTTTGTTTTTAAAACTTGTTTGTTTTTTATTTTTGGAGACATCATCTTACTATGTTGCATATCAGATATTTACATTACAATTCATAACAGTAGCAAAATTATAGTTATGAAGGAGCAATAAAACAATTTTATGGGCTGGAGAGATGGCTCAGAGGTTAAGAGTACTGACTGCTCTTCCAGGGGTCCTGAGTTCAATTCCCAGCAACCACATGGTGGCTCACAACCATCTACAATGATCTGGTGCCCTCTTCTGGCATGTAGGCAGAACACTATATATGTAATAAATAAATCTTAAAATAATTTTATGTTTGGGGGTCACCATGACATAAGGAACCATATTAAAGGGTGACAGGCAGCATTAGGAAGGTTGAGAACCACTGATCTAAAGTTTTCTTTAAAACCACTTTTCTTACATGGGTGTGGTGATTGATATATGTGTTTAATCTCAGCACTCGAGAAGCTGAAGCAGGCAGATCTGAGTTCAAGGCCAGCTTGATCTACAAAGTGAATTGAAGGCCAGCCAATGCTACATCACTATGTTTGTGTCTCAAAACAAACAAACAAAAAACTTCCATACCAGAAAGATGGCTTAGTAGTTAAGAGCACTTGCTTCCAGAAGACCCAGGTTTAGTTCCCAGCACCCACATGGTGACTTACAACTGTCTAACTTCAGTTCCAGAGAATCTGGTGCCGCCTTCTGGCCTCCACAGGTACTAGGCACACACCCAGACCACTTACATGCAGGCAAAATACTCATACACATAACATTTTTTATAAATTAAATTAGCCAGGAAGTGGTGGTGCACATCTTTAAGCCTGCCACTTGGGGGGCAGAGGCAGACAAAGCTCTATGAGTTCAAGGCCAGTCTGTCTACAAAGTAAGTTCCAGGACGGCTAGAGCTACACAGAGGAACACTATCTTAACAATCAGAAACAAACAAAAAAATTAATTAATAAAAAACAGACAAAACATACATACACAAAGCCCTCAAATTCAAAATAAAAAAAACCAACATCTTTTTTTTCAAAGACCTTTTAAAGTACCACACTGCCTAGAGAGGGTAGGTAAAAATCCCTTAGCATGCCTTTCTGGTGGACACTCTACCAACCTACCAACCAGCCTATCCCAGAAGTCTCACTATCTCTCAACACAGACCTATAGTTCTTAGTTGTATCTGACCCACGAAAGGTTATACAGACACCTCACACACATAAGCCTGAATTCCTCCCAGGCGTCCTTCCTCTCCCATTTTGCAAAGACAACATCCTCTAAAGCCTCTTTGGTTCTCTCCAGGGCTCCTGGTGGCAGTCCACACTGACTATGTCTTACCCACTGGGCTATGGTATATGCTCCTTTCCCCAAGCTGGACTGAGAACACAGTGAGGATGGGCACCTGCCTATTCATCTCCCCACGCCCAGGCCATCTGCGGAACACCGGTGTTGGAACTGCTCTCCCTAGACTCAGGACAGAGGACAGGTCAACAAAACCTGCATCCTATCTGGTCTGGACACTAAGACACCCCTGAGTAGGCATGCCCTGCCACTCTAAGGATGGCAGCTAGCCTTGCCTGCCCTTTCCTTGCATCAAGACACTGTGTTAAAAGCTATCCCATGCCCACTTTTTTTTCTTAATCCACCAGCACACAGAGAACACACTCTAGTCCTGGGAAAGTCTGCCTTCTACCTAACTGGGGGTCTTTAACCCACCAGCACACAGAGAACACACTCTAGTCCTGGGAAAGTCTGCCTTCTACCTAACTGGGGTTCTTTGTGCCACATCACATCTAGGAGACAGAGAAGCTATTTTACCCAGGTGACTACGGTGACTACTCTCTCCTTAGCAAGCCAACTCAGTATGCATCATTTGCTATTTTTTTCTAGCCTCCTTTTCTCTCGGAACCACAACATAGCAGTGTTCCCGGGATTCCTTCTACAATGGAGGCATTTATACAAGGGCCCAGCCCTCTGGGACCTAACAAAGCAGAAGGCCAGACCTCCCCGCTTGCAGGGTTTTACAAAAGCCTGCACAGGCATACAACAGTGAAGCTCATCTCTCCCTCCACGTCTCATGCTTCAGACCCTCAAAGGCAGGGCCATTTTCCCTCATCCTTGTAAAGCCAGGGCTAGTTCCAGACCAGTTTTCTCATCATGCTACAAACGATGGCCTAGCACGCAAGGGTGGTCAATGGTGGGGTCCACACACCAAGCAAGAGGTCACAAGTCCCCGTCTTCAAGAGGAGGCACAGACATCCGCAGGCAACTCCTACTGAGTGCCACGGCTAGGGCAGACCAGGGGATTCGTCCTGAGGTCCGACAGGACCAAAGATCTGTGCTGCGCACATGCGTGTGAGAAACATCTCTCACCTTAGAGAGAGGACCGCGAGTGAGGCCAAAGGGAATCTGCTGAATTGGGACGCAGAACCCAAACCCCAACTCATTACTTCTTTGAGTAACCTAAAGCTTGGGTTTTTTTTTTTTTTCTAGAAGCAGACTAACATGTTAATGCTGCCTCTGCCGCTCACCAGCTGTGTGGCCTCGGTTTCCTCATCTGTAAACAGAAATAACTATTAGACCTGGCTAGCTTCTGGTGCTGCGGCGAAGTTTGTGACAATGAGGCGATCCACACAATGCCGGAGATGCAGCGCGCACTACACAACCACGGCTATTTATTATTAGTCGTGTCCGAGCTCCGGATGGCCCGTTCGGCGGAGCCACGTCCCCTTCCGGCTCCAGGACGCTCCCACTCCGCAGGACCCCGGCGCCCTTGACCCCCAAAGGCCCGGCCTGCGGCGCGCACGCGCAGAGCAGGCGAGGCTCCAGCCTCCCACGGGAAGCGGGCGCGCTGCAAGCACCCACTGATCTCTGGGGCAAAGGGTCCACACTCTGCCATCTAAAGACAACCGCTCTTGCACCGAGGGCACACCAGAGCTCCCAACCCTCCCAGCCCGGAGAGCGGGTCGGTTTCCTCACACTCTGGAGCAGGCTCCTCCTCTGCGCCGCCATCTTGGAGGACCCCGCGGCGCGCCAGTCTCTCCGAGTAGCGAAATGGGTGGCTAGAGCGGCTCCGACTGCTCCCCCCCCCCATCCACAGCGCCCCCTGCGGAGCGGAGGAGCAGCAGGGGAACGTTGCGCAGGCGTGTTTTTCTACCCTTCTTCCGGGCTGAAAGAATGCAAAACACCTTCGCAGTCTATTTTCTTATTCCTCGGGGGTCTTTATGTGTCCAGGATTCTTTTCGATGGGGATTCTGAGATCCTAACTGAAGCGCTTTATGAGGGAGGGGACAGAGGAGAGCGAATCATTCAGCCTTGGGTGATTGCTTGACCTTATAGCGGACTAGCCAGGCGTTGGTGGTGCACGCCTTTAATCCCAGCACTCGGGAGGCAGAGGTAGATGGATCTCTGTGAGTTCGAGGCCAGCCTGGTCTACAAAGTGAGTTCCAGGACAGCCTCCAAAGCCACAGAGAAACCCTGTCTCGAAAAACCAAAAAAAAAAAAAAAACCCCAAAAAATTGGGGCAGACTGCAATTCTGAGTAGTTGTAAATTCTCGGAAGTGAAGTTAATGGACAGTAGCATCGGAATGGGGCGTCAGCTGGCACCTGACAGGAACTGCTGGTGCCTGAAGCAGGAGTATGGTTTGTTCAGGAGCGGTGCAGAAGCTGGGCGTGGAGTCAAGGCTTACCTGTAATCAAGTCATACCTGTAATCCTAGAATTTAGGAGGCCGAGGCGGGAGGATATCAGGTTTGAGGGTGACCTGAGTTAGGTTATACAGGAGGTTAGTTCTAGAAGGGACTGACAAATAGGCTCCCAAAAGTAAGACCAGAGCCCTGAAACAGGATGTAAAGAGTGGGCTGACACTCAGGATATAAAGATAGTGACAGTGATGAAATCCAGATGGGCCTGCTCAGGAGGCCAGTAACAGGATGTAAAGAAGATGAGTGGCAGTGGTGGACCTTAACCAGGTCAGGTCAAAACGCAGCCTTAGGGGGCTTCCTCTCCAGGAGAGCAGAGGTCTGTTACCCTCTCCCCTAGTAAACTTTTCCATTTTAAGGGTACTTTAAGCCTCATACATATTTGCAACTCATACATTGAGCCAGACTGAATTCTGGGGGAAATGGGCTCCTTTCCAGGAAATGTCCACCCTAGAGGAAGGGATAAGGGAAAAGAAGTATATAAGCGTCTTGCCCGGTGAGATCGGAGCAGTTGATGCTTGGGCTCACTTGCTATTTCTCTTGTAGTCTTTCTTGCTTGCTCTAATTAAACTTGACTACTATGTCCTGCTTGAAGTCTTCTTTCCCGAAAGCACAAGAATCAAGACTGTAGCTGGCCGGGCGTTGGTGGCGTACGCCTTTAATCCCAGCACTCGGGAGGCAGAGGCAGGTGGATCTCTGTGAGTTCCAGGCCAGCCTGGTCGGTCTACAGAGTTCCCGGACAGCCAGGGCTACACAGAGAAAAAAACAAAACAAAACAAAAACCAGTTACAACAGAAGCATGCAGGTCACTGAGCGCCCAAGGGCTGAAACAGACATGGAGGAGGAGTGAAGAGAAATGAGAACGGTGCGGCTTCAGACCAGAGCTGCGTGCGCACCTGGAGATGGAATGGAAAGGTGCTGGGCTGCGCAGGTGGTCCACGCCATTAATCCCAGGCCATGGGACGCAGAGGCACGCAACTCCGGGGGTTTAAAGCTAGCCTGATGAGGCTGGAGAGGTGGCTCAGAGATTAAGAGCACTGACTGCTCTTCCAGAGGTCTTGAGTTCAATTCCCAGCAACCACATGGTGGCTGACAACCATCTACAATTCAATCTGGTGTATATGTAATAAATAAATCTTAAAAGAAATAAAGCTAGCCTGATCTATATAGTGAGTTTCAGGACAGCCATAGCGGGAGGGAGGGAGGAGGGACCCTGATTCAAAAACAGCAATAACAACAACAACAAAAAGTCAAGAAAAAGAAGTTATCGGTTGCTAAGCAATCTCTTGACATGGTTCCCTAGCTACTAAGAACTGAGTAAAGTTTTATGAAAATTGAATGAGAACAGAAAGGACTATTTTAGGAGAACAATGACAGTGGTTGACTTGATTAGTGGTAGAGAGCAGATTTTATTTAAAATATAAAAATCACTGGGGCTTGGGTATTAGTTTGGGGTAGTTTGAATTGTTCAGGTCTTGAAAATGCAAACCTAAAACTCGTATAGTAGTTGGTCGTGGTAACTGAGGTAGGGCCTTGGGGAGATGGCTGCAATAGGGTTAAGTGGGTCAGGGCCAAATGACGAAACTAGTAAAGAGCAGATGGCACACTTGCTCCTTCCGCAGGTGATGCTCTGCCGTGCCGTGCTGAAGCAGGATGGCACTGGATACAGCTGCTGTGCTCTTGGGCTTCCCAAGCTCTAGAGCCCTGAGGCAAACAAGTTCTATCCTTTCTGAATTATCCAGGCTTACCAGGATGGTGAACATTTGCCTGTAACCCATCCCTTGAGAAGACAGAGACAGAAGAATCAGAAGCCTGGACTGCATGACACCCTATTTCAGTAAATAAATAATTCAGGGGCTGGGGAGATGGCTCAGAGGTTAAGAGCACTAGCTGCTCTTCCAGAGGTCCTGAGTTCAATTCCCAGCAATGGTGGCTCACCACCATCTGCGATGAGATCTGGTGCCCTCTTCTGGCCTGCAGTCATACATGCAGGCAGAACACTGTATGCAGAATAAATTAACAAATAAATAGGTCTAATAAATAATCCAGTATCAAGTATTTTGTTAAAGCAAAAGAAAATAGCCTAAGGCAACGGTGATAATAGATAACAAGGGGCTGGAGAGATTTCTCAGTGGTTAAGAGCACTGACTGCTCTCCCACAGGACCTGGGTTCAATTCCCAGTACCCACATGGCAGTTCACAAGTATCTATAACTCCCATTCCAGGGAATCCCACACCCTCAAACAGACATACGTGCAAGCAAAAACCAATGCACATAAAATAAGAATAAATAAATCATTACAAAAAGAGAGAGAAAGAAAGAAAGAAAGAAAGAAAGAAAGAAAGAAAGAAAGAAAGAAAGAAAGAAAGAAAGAAAGAAAAAGAAAAGGGATGCCAGAGATCCCTGCAGATGTTTCGCAGAAGCAGGCAGGGTTATAGGGAGGGAGAAGGGAGTGAGCTCCATTCCATCATGCTGATTTGGACGTTTCTTGAGATGAGAAAGCAAATCAGTAGGAGGCTAGAGCTCAGAACAGAAGCTGAACCTGCGAAAGCAGCACAGACCATGCAGCTGAAGGGGCAGGGTGGCAAGGGTGAACCATGTCCTCGGAGGAGTATGCCAGGAGGACATGAGCAACAGTGTGAGGTCTTTTGGAAAGCTTTGGTCGGCAGATAGCTGGATTCAAGAAGCCCTGAGCTGAGGTCATTCCTGTGGAACAGTGTGAGTGGAGTGAATTGAGGCCTGGCTGTGAACAGACACATGGGGACCATAGAGCAGACGGTTCTCCAGAGTTTGTGGATGGTGAAGTCCACAGAGAAGGGATCATGGGATTGAAGGGGAACTTTCTTTTCTTATTTCTTTTTTTAGGGTTTCTCTCTCTGTAGACTAGGTTGGCCTTGAACTCAGAGATCTGCGTGCCTCTGCTTCCACGTGCTGGGATTAAATGTGAGCATCACTACACACAGCTTTTTTTCATTGTTTGGTTTTGATCCTAGGGGTTTTTTTGTTTGTTTGTTTGTTTTTAGACTGAGTTTCTATATGTAGCCCTGACTTTCCTGGAACTTGCTTTGTAGACCAGGCTGGCCTTGAATGCACAGAGATCCTGCCTGCCACTCACTGCCTCCTAAGTGCCACCATTGCCTAGTTGATTCTAAATTTTCTGAAGGCTTAGCAAATGTTTGATTAAAGGCCCAAGCAGGGAGGAATCAGTATGCTAATAAATTAAGGAAACTGAGGCATGACAATCTCATGGTCCCTAAGGATTAAGTAGGGAGTTAGAAGTACAGCTTGGTGCTCCCTAGCTCCCCATAATTCTCTTCACACCAGACTCTGGTTTTGCAGAGATGGAGTGAAAGGGGTAAACCAAACTCAAGGGCTTCACTTCTAATAATTCAGAAATAAACCCTGTCTCGTAAAAAAAAAAAAAAAAAAAAAAAGGAACCAGACCCTCACTCAGCCCCTGCTTTAGTAACCATGACAGGCTACAGAAAAGACACGTAGGCCTCTGACACAAGGAAACTCCAGATCCCCTGGCCTCCAAGAGTCTAGGGCCAAAACTGAACACAAAGAAACTCCAGGTCTCCCCCTCTGCCCCAGTCACCTTGATGCTTGGTTCCAGGGAACTGTTTGGCCACAAAAGAAACTTCAGGGGGGACCAAAACCTCCCCTGTAGTCTCCAGGATATAGTTCTGAAAACTATCAATATCAATGTACAACAGGCCACCTGCAAGTAACAAGACAAAGCCATAGAAACCACAGAATGTTCCCTTTCAGCACTGACCAATAAAAATAATTGGTACACAGGTATTTCATGCCAAAATATGACTTTGAGAAATTCTCCTGATTGTTCCCAAATGTCAACCAATCAGAAACCAACTCGTACCTACTGATGTAATCCTGTAACTTTTGTCTTTAAAATCTAGCAGTAGACAGGGAACTTCCCTCCCTCTGGAGGCTGCTGTGTCAGCTTGCTAGATGGGGTCCCTGTCATGGGTGGATGAACAATCATTAAACCTTGCTTTTGCAATTTAGTGGGTCTGTCTTCCTCGTGGTCTCTGGGGACTTTGCAACTTGGGCACAACAGGAGAAGACAACCCTGGGCTCAGCATGGCACTTGAGAGAATGAGCATTAAGTCAGCACCTTCTGTTTACCATGTTCTGAGCTTCCAAGGACCCTGTGACTCATATAAGGAGGCCTGCAGCCCCTCTGTGTGCCTAAGAGCCAAGCTCTAAAATGGGTCTTGTTTTCCCCAGGACAAACAGATGATTCACACTGGAGCTCTCTCTGATCAGTTCAAGATATGCTTCTACGGCAACTGCCAGTCCTGACAACCATTTAAGGCTGGCTCAAGGCCTTATCATGGGTC